TTTTATGCAAGATAATGCTTCCTGTCATAAATCAAAATTGATGAAGGAATACTTTGATGAGAAGAAGGTCAGTGTTATGACATGGCCGCCCAATCTCCTGACATCAACCCCATAGAAAACTTATGGAGCATTATAAAGTACAGTCTCTCGAGAAAGCAGTTGAGCAACAAAAAAGATCTGATTGTCAATTTCATATCCGAATGGAATTCAATGCTTGGAGATGAGATTTGCCAGAACCGTATCATCAAGTCAATTCCAAAATGGGTTGAAAAGGTTATTCAAAATACAGGAGGACCCATAGATTATTAAATATTTCGATGTATATTACCTATTATAAATAAATTATACCTCTGTTATTCTTTATTTAAAGCTGTTCGGTTATGTTTCTATTGATTACTAGTTGCAGCAAATTAGTGAGTCACCTTTTTTTTTTTTTTTGCATAGATTTTTCCACTAAATCTTATTTATATCCAAAATTATAATTATCAATAGAATACCTTAGGGTGAGTAAACTTTTTTACTAAGTGGTCGGTGGTCGGGAAGGGATCTTTATATTAGTAAGATTAATAATTAGTTTGACCCCAAAAACGATAGGCGAAATATATATATATATATATATATATATATATATATATAGTAAAATAGTAAAAACGCTGAATGGAACACCACCACGGCCGACATTAAAGCCTTCTATGCATCTATAGCAGAAAAATGTCTATTGGAAGTTTTGGTGTTTGCGAAGGAATTCGTATGTTTAAACACTGAAAAGATTAAAGTCATCCTACATTGCCGTAAATTGGTATTATTTCATAATAGTTAAGCATGAAGCAAGAAATCTAAAGCTGGTAATTTTGATGTTCCCTAAGGATCATACGACGGGGCAAATTCACGGGAATCTACATTCTGATTAATATAAATCGTCCACATCGACAATCACGAGATATATGATGGACTGATAGAGATACGAGATAATATTGTTTGGTGCATAATTATCAGTCGTTTTTAAACAACATTTATTAGGAAAAAAAGAAACATAACTATTCAACAATAACATTTTAAAATGAGTATCATTATCGATACACAGGCTTATAACTTGAAAATAAAATAATATTTTTATTAAAAAAATAAAAACAAAACAGCAATTTTTATTAAGAAATAACTCGCCTAAAACACCTGATAATTATACACCAACCCTATAAAAAATGATTCCATCAGGAAAAAACGACAAAAGATTTCAAAGAGCTGAATTTCGATATTGCACTGAAAATCAACAGGAAAGTAGTCCAGTTTTTAGACATTGAGCTAAACCTGTTGACTGACACTATTTCACCATTTACAAAGGTTAATATGGCTTCGAGATACGTAAAGACGGGATCCAAACACCCGTCAAGTGCGATCAGACATAACTCGCTACGAGTGTAAAGCAGACTATAAAAAGTTCTTCAAATGAAGAAACAATCAACGAAAGAATAATAATAAAAAATACGTATCTGCATTGAGAGAGGAGGGACACCATATCAACCTGTGTTTCAAGGACCAAATAAATCCAAGTACAGGTGACAATAAAAAAAAGTAAAAGGAATGTTATCACGTTCAACCCACCCATCAATATGCAAGTAAGAACTAATGTAGGCAAAATATGTTCAGCCTTTTAAATAAGCATATCCCAAAGACGTCCGGGTTGTAAAAATTATTTAATCGAAACACAGTCAAGTTCAGCTTCAGTTGCACTAGAAAGCAAGGCAAGATTACTAAAATGTTGAACAAATGAAATTCAAATCTTGAAGAACATGTGAAGAGTGGAACGAAATTCTTTTGTAATTGCAGAAGCAAAAAATAATTGTCCCTTAAATTGGGTATATTGCACAGAGTGTGTAGTGTATTATCCCGATGTAGAAAATAACAATGGCAGTGCAAAAACATACATTGGTTGCACTGAGGCCAATTTAAAAAGAGGTGGCATAATCATACCAAGTCATTAAATGGAAAAGAGAGGTGAAAGCTGGTAAAGTGAATAGCGGCTCCTGTGCGCTGTGATAGAAGGAGAGGTTGTCCATTGCAACATAGAAGGGTGGTGCTGAGCTGTTGAATGTAAGGTCAGAAATTATGGCAAAATTGAAGTACAGGAAGAATTTGTCTTTGGTGCTATACGACCCCGGGTGATGTTGGAAAAGCACTATAACTTTTTTACCATCCCTTCCTCTCATTACTTCAGGTGCAGCATTAAGAAATTTAAGTCCTAGTGGTGTTGTACGTAATGATTTACCCATTAGTAGAGACCTTACATAGTATTTATTTAAATAAATTTTATATAAAAAATACCGTATAAACATAATATATATATATATATATATATATATATATATATATATATATATATATATATATATATATATATATATATAAATAAAATTTGGTGCAGTTCAATTTATATTACAATGAATCATTCATACAAAAAGTAAATTAGTAAAGTTAATGATATAAAATAGCGAAATCTTTTGCTAACAAAATTTTAAAGGTGCATTAACCTACAAATCACTTGATGAATGTTATGATCCTTGTTTGTTTTTTTTTAAATTATAAGCTGTAAAAGGTCTTTCTTTAATACGCAAGTACTTTCGAGTGTATATTCAGTCATCTTCAGACATGGAAATTACTTTGTTTTTGGTAAAATTCAGGTAGCATCCGAGATGAATAAATTAAATGCGAATAGGATGAAAATAATTTCCTGACGATTGCGCTCAAGCTTCAAACAAACAAACCATATATATATATATATATATATATATATATATATATATATGGTCAGTTAATGAAGGGTTTGTTCAATCGTGCGGATAATTCCAATAAGAATGTTATCCAGAGAGCTCAATGTAAAACCAAATATTAATTAAATAATTAAGAAATAGTAAAACTTAAGTTTCCATGGCTATAATTTATTTACCCAGAAAATATACTTTTCTGGTTCATATCTCTAGATCTATCTATATATTTCTGTGTGTGTGTGTGTATTTGTGGGGGGGGGAGAAAGAGAGAGAAATTGAGAGAGACAGAGGAATAGATAGTTACTGAATGAAAGAGAAAGTCAGCTGAAGATAGAACAGGATAGATAAAATAAGAAAGAATAAGTTTGAAGTATTCAACAATGTTTTTATAAACTCTGGCCCTCTCTCTTCTTTTCTCTACTTTTTTTGTTCATGTTCCTTAAATGTTATGTAAATATACGCAGCCGGAAGTGAGAAGGAAACAATGATCTTCAACGAAAAAGGAAAAAAAATACATCTGAGAAATAAAAGATAAGGGAAATGAGAGGAAACAGACAATTGAGTGGCAAATCTAAGAGCTGTAGGAAGAGGTCAACTAAATTGACGTCGAGTGAAATGCGTATTGGTGTGTGATGTAGCTGACTTTTTTTTTATTGATCTAGTCTGCGAAAATGGCACGTCGGAAGACTTATCTTTGTTGATCTACTTTTTTTTTCATTTTCGGTTGATTTCGTTTTCTTTCTTTTTAAAATCTTTCTTATTGATTTGCAGATAATTGCTTTTCTTTAACCTGTCTGGGATTTATGGCCAGAGGCGAAAATAAAATGTGGCGAAAAGAAAGAAAGAAAGAAAGAAAGAAAGAAAGAAAGAAAGAAAAGACTTATTTAAAGATAGATAGAAGAAGAGAGAGAAAGGAAGAAATGATTATTTAAGGATAGACCGTGGCATAAAGAAAGAAAGAATTATTTAAATATCGTAAGAGAAATGCAGAAAATAAAAGAAAAAGTGAATTACTTCAGGAAAGAGAGAGGAATGAAGTAAGAAAGAAAGAAAGAAATAAATAAATAAAGAAAGAAAGAAAGAAATGATTACAGAAGAATAGATAAAATATAAAAGAAAGGTAAATAAAGTAGGAATAAATTACTTAAGGGTAGACAGAGGCATAATCATTAAAAGAAAAGAAAGGAAGAAAGAAAATAATATCTAAGGATTCAAATAGAAAGAAAGAAAGAAAGAAAGAAAGAAGGAAAGAATGAAAGAATTAACGAAAGATTGAATTACTTACGGATATACAGATGAATAAGGTAAGGAAGGTAAAAGGAAAGAAAGAAATAACTATTTAAGGATAGCCAGAGAAGTAAACAAAGTTAAATAAAAAAGAAAGAATTAACTATTGAAGGATATGCAAAGAAAGAAAGAAAGAAAGAAAGAAAGAAAGAAAGAAAGAAAGAAAGAAAGAATTATTTAAGCATAGACAGAAGAATAAAGAAAAAGAAGGGAGGAAAGAAAGAAATATTATTTGCGGATACACAAAGAAAGAAAGAAAGAAAGAAAGAAAGAAAGAAAGAAAGAAAGAAAGAAAGAAATATTTAAGGGTAGACAGAGAAATAAAAAAAGGAAGAAAGAATGAATTACTTAAGGATATATACAGAGGAATAAAGAATGAAAAAGCAAGGAAGGAAAAAAGGAAAGAAAGAAATAATTATTTAAGTATAGACAGAGAAGTAAATAAAAGTAAAAAAAAAAAGAAATATTTATTTAAGAGGAAATAAGAATAAGAGGGGAAGAAAGAAATATTATTTACGGATACACAGGGAGAGAGAGAGGGAGAGGGAGAGAGAGAGAAAGAAAGAAAGAATTACTTAAGGATAGACAGAGTTATAAAGAAAGGTAAGGAACAAATCAAATAGAAAAAGGTAAAAGTACAAACAAAAGACGCAATAAATAATGGAAGAAAAATAAAAAAAAAATAAAGAAAATTAAGAAAACCAAGAGAAGAATAACAAAAGTGAGGGAAATAAATAAATGAAAGGCAAAACAAGAAAGAAAGAAAGAAAGAAAGAAAGAAAGAAAGAAAGAAAGGAGAAAAGAAAGAAGGAAACAGTGAAACAAGTTGAAATTACATGAAGTAATATAAATAGTAAAATTAAAGAAAGAACAAGTCAAGAAGAAATAATAATAAATATGTACATGAAAAAAAAGGACTGAAAAATTATCAAAGGAAGAAAGAGGCATCAAACGAAAGAGTTAATTCTGACAAAGGTGCATAAACAGGAGAAACAGAATACCGACAAAGAAAAAGAAAATGACATTCAGAAAAAAAAAAGATGGACGAAGCAAAGCAAGAGATAAATAAGCATGACAAGTAAACAATGAACAAGTAAACTCAAATAAAGAAGAGAGAAAGATATTTTCAAAGTTTTCTTTCGAATTTGGTGGAGAGCCAAAAGATCGGTAAGAGAAAATGTGTTGGCCCAATTTTGTAGATAGTGGGGACTTGCCTATTTAGCAAATCAGTATGCGACATCTAAGTTGAATAGAAGTTTGAACCATGTGTTTAAGCAATGCTTGGGTAAGGGCAACTACTTTTCCCAAAAAGCAGAAAAATGACCCTTAAGAAAAAGGAGAGAAAAATAAAGTTTGATTCGTGTTAAATCAAGAACTGGAATGAAATATGTGCGACAGTTTTAAAAGGATATTCTCCCAAAGAAAATGTTGCAATAACGAAAGAAATAATTACTTAAGGATAGACATAGGAATAAGGAAAGGAAAGAAGAAAAAAAAAGTGAGAAAGAATTATTTAAGGTGAGACAAAGAAAGGACGGATCATTTAAGTATTTAAAAGAAAGCGAGAAGAAAAATAAGTGTTAAATCAAGAACAGGAAATATTTGTTTGAAATATTTAAAAGGAGATCATCATTATCATGGCGTGACATCGCTACCCGAAAATCAAGATGCAGTCTGTATACATTTCTTGCAGGCACGTTTATGACTGATAAGTCCAATGCGGGACAGGCAAACATGTTCTCAGTATATTCAGCTGAAAGTCCGACCTGAGCTCGATGGCATATCGTTGCAGTAGTTCCTCTTCAGCATCTTGTACCTGAGAGCGTCCGTGCAAAGAATCAGATGATTGGTGATGAGAGATGCTCCCTAAGAAATATCTAGAAACAAAACAATGAAATGATTTGATGTGTTGATGAAACAGCGAACCCATCCGACCACATTTACTGTTACGGTTTCCATCTTCCCTATCGTTGGTTTGTGGCATGCTTAGTTTATATTTAGACCTGCTGGTCAATTTAATGTCATATCAATCGTTGTTCTGTTATTTAATGTTGTTAAATTATTTTGTATTACTTTTGTCAAAACGTAAAAATCGGTAAAAAAAGAAAAAGTATTAATTCCTCGACAGCCCAAAAAGACGTAACGTAATCTATCCTCTATGGAAAATATCTGGCATTTACCTTTCTATGGAAAAAGACCTTTTAACGTCCTTATTCTATGGAAAATATCTGACAAGCTCCATCCTATCTATCCTTATTCTATGGAAAATATCTGACGAGATCCATCCTTAGTTTTAACATTTCAGAAATTGTCAGCTAATCTATCCTTATTCTATGGAAAATATCTGACGAGCTCCATCATTAGTTTTAACATTTCATTGGCTATCCTTAAGTTTTACTTTCAGAAATTCTATCCTCCTATTCTATGGAAAATATCTGACGAGCTCCATCCTTAGTTTTAACATTTCAGAAATTGTCAGCTAATCTATCCTTATTCTATGGAAAATATCTGACGAGCTCCATCCTTAGTTTTACCATTTCAGAAATTGTCAGCTAATCTATCCTTATTCTATGGAAAATATCTGACGAGCTCCATCCTTAGTTTTAACATTTCAGAAATTGTCAAAATCTATCCTTATTCTATGGAAAATATCTGACGAGCTCCATCCTATTTTAACATTTCAGAAATTGTCATTCTATCCTTATTCTATGGAAAATATCTGACAAGCTCCATCCTTAGTTTTAACATTTCAGAAATTGTCAGCTAATCTATCCTTATTCTATGGAAAATATCTGGAAAATATCTGAGCTCCATCCTTTCAGTTTTAATCATTTTCTATGGAAAATATCTGACGATTCCTTAGTTTTAACATTTCAGAAATTGTCAGCAAATCTATCCTTATTCTATGTAAAATATCTGGCGAGCTCCATCCTTAGTTTTAAAATTTCAGAAATTGTCAGCTAAGAGCTGACAAACTATGTACAGAGAGTCGAACCATCCACATTTCCTTCAAATTCTATTAGTCAGAATTAATTTCATCCCGAACAACTCCCCAAGACCTACTGCTGTATGTAATTGATTCCTTTTCATAATTTTGTTAGGTCAAATGTCAACTATTATTTATCCGATATATTAATTCGTTTTTGAAGTAAATTAATGTATTACAAATTTAATTTTTCGTAATTAAATAAACTACTATATGAAATGACGGATATCCATGTTGAAATCTTAAACGGTCAGTTTTCTGTGTCCGACCATAGCCCCGTGCATGAATTATATAGTTGAATCAAACAGTGAGGAGTGAATACATATTACTATGAATATTATCTCTGTTATTTTACAGCGAACACGACTTTATTATCGATTTTAAATTGCTGTCGAGTAAACGATTAATTTGTTTTCAAAAGCAAAAGCATCCTCTTTTTTTATAAAAGTTAAGGGGGCTTTACCCTGATCAACTAATCGAATATGACCTACGTTAAATTCAAACTAACTGAAAAAAATGAATTAGAAATTATTATCTTAGAAATGTATCATGACCAGAAGGAGGCGCATTGCTATGCGTTGAATCACGACTGCAATTCTGTAACGATTCTTTTGTTGTAATATACTAAAATAAATATTATTCTACTATGTGTTGAGCCGACATTTAAATTAAATGTTAGAAACGTTAGAAGTATTCTATTCACTCTAATCGTACCTCTAAATATATATATATATATATATATATATATATATATATATATATATATATATATACATGTACACATATATATATATATATATATGTGTGTGTGTGTGTGTGTATATATATATATATATATATATATATATATATATATAACCTTGTAAAGAAAGATGAAGTAAGAGAGAATTGAAACATTAGTCGACGCCTAGACCGTAATTACTGTAGCAAGTAATATTAGAAGAAAGTCTGCGTTATCAGATGAAAGTTTTTTGACTTGGAAACCAAAACATACTCGAAGAAAGAAATTGATTGAGCAAGTCACGAAAAAAAAATGAAAAAAAGCTGTAAGGATTGTTGAAAATAACCAAAAAATGAAAATTGGTCCCACGAAATAAAATTAAAGATAAATTTCACAAGCAATAAAGACGCTAAAGAAACGGAAAACGAAAGCAAGAAATAAAGACAAAGATAAAATAGCTCATATATATATATATATATATATATATATATATATATATATGTATGTATGTATGTATGTATGTATGTATGTATAAGTCCTTAACATGATTAGTCTTCTTGTTTTTCAGAAAAGTACTACTACAAAGAGTGCAAACTATAATGTTTCCGCCATACTTTCCCCGTGCGTCAGTTAAAGCAGGCTTGCGATGAGTGCATGCATATATATATATATATATATATATATATATGTGTGTGTGTGTGTGTGTGTGTGTGTGAGTGTATGTGTGTGTGTATTAGTATCATCTGGTAATAATACGAGATATCTTTTTAGAAGTAATATAATTTTATTCAATTCAAGAATTTCTCAAAATAATGTCAGTCTAATAAAGGGGTATGAGGTTTCGTATCTTGAGCGTTCGATTATCTTGCTCGTAGGATGAAACACTGTGAACTCCCCTCGTAGACAGGGCATTTTTATATCTGCTTGTTTGTGTGTGTGTGAGTGTATGTGTGTGTGTGTTTGCGCGCGCGTGTGTGCGTCGTTCATTCATTTGCATTCACCATCTGTATATTTTGGTGTACCCACCGACGTTTATTCCAGCCTCAATTCAGCAACTGGTGACTTTGAGTTAACCTTCTACGGCAACAGTGAAGGCTTATGATTTTGAAGTTTTATGTTGAGACGCGACATGAAAGCTGTGGACATCAACATAGTATGCTGGTAGAGCTTGGCTGCCATACGATCCGAATGGAGAGGAACCCTGACCAAACACCTGAGGTCAGAGGGGGAGAAGCTGATACAAGTCGCCACGGAAAGTTGGACCCGCAGAAAGCAAAGTGACAGCTCCAACAGACCAGAGACAAGAACACACATGCGACCTCTGCAACAGAGATTGTCACTCCTGCATCCGCTTCTACAGTCACAGACGTCGATGCTCCAGCCAGGGATACAACTAGGATCCTACCCATGGTGAACCCTGACTGACTGAGACCTACACAAATGTTGAGACCGAGCACAATTCTTTCTTCGCTATTTTTAAAAAAATATTTTTGTGTCATCAAGTACATATAGTGTCCATATGCTTGTTTCACACATGAACATTTCGATCAAATATTCTTGCTGAATATGAAATTCGATTCAGACATTTTTTTTTATTTCCTGGTGTGAATCATGTATGACATATTACTGACCAATGTAATGCAATATTGTAAAACTTTGTCCGGTGAAACTCCCCAAAAGGATGATAAAAGTCGATGAGACTAAGCAAAATACTATACATTGAGAAATTTGTGTTATTAAGTTCAAAGGCAATTTACGGTAGATGCCGCTGTGTTGCCATCAAGACTATGTTACATTTGTCAGTTGTGTACATTTGTGATTAGTTTGATTTCAACGTTTAATGTGTGTAGTAGTATATTAACAGAGATGTGTTCCGTTTAACAATGGCAGAATATTGATATTGTGTGCATGCAGATATAATTTTTTTACAGACAACCGCGAATGGTAATGGATGGCGTTTCCAGACCGAAGGCACTCGTGTCATCTAAACTCTGCTGTTGACAGTTAATAAAACAGGATCCGTGGTAACACATGTTGACCATGTTTGCCGTAGTCTATGAATATGGAATCCAGTGAAGTCCGTAATCTGTTCAATATCAGAGGTCGGCAGTGAACATTCAGAGAAAGTAGCGGCTGTTAAGTAATTCTTCGACATCAGGTTGGCAGTGCAGACAATTTGGGAGACAAAATGGCTGCCTTTATACACGTCGCATTGAATATTTTGAGCTTTCTGCTTGGTTA